ACTATTTTGTTATGTTTAATACTATTGTAATGTGAAGGTATGCTCAATTATTTCAAATAAAGAGACATTCTGGTAGCTACTGTTAATATCTGGTTGTCTTGCTGTGAAGTGTTGTGTTGCTTACATTGTTCTATTCTGATCTACTTTTTTCTGTCCTTTTTTGTAAAAAAAAAAAAAAAACTATAAAGCAAAGTAGAAAGAGTAGAGAAGTCAGCAATAAAGACATGTGTTTTAGTCCCATTTAGTCCCTCTAACTCACTACATCGTGAGGAATTAATTATCAAATCTTTAAGTATCTACACTACTCACCTGAGCTGCTACAAAAACATAATTGTTGAAGAGATGTAAAAATGTTTAGAAAAATAACTGCTACATTCTATTTAAATATTTTGAACACCTATTTTCTGATGGTAGTCATGGAATTTATGGTTAGTGGGGAAAACAGAAGTAAATGATTGATAAGTACTATAAAAGGGAAATACTAATAGCCAGGGTGTCATGAATTAAGACATTTAACTGACTGTAAGAGCTCAGGGAAGGCTTTCCTAAGGACTCAACACGTAAACAGCCATAAAGATTCATAGAAATTAATTAGAAAAAGAAAAGTAAGAAAATTTCCAAGCAGAAAAGTGAAAGTCATGAAACAACATATAAAGTGGAATTATGGAGCATTTAGTTATTCAAACGTTTTTGCTAAAAATTAACCTAATATCATTAAATTTTAACCCCCCAACATTTGCCATTTCTAAGTGCCACATTCTTACAGTCTCATCTATAGGTTATTTTTTAAAGTGTCCAGTTTTTTCTAAGAAAATACTGAGACCTTTGCCTTCACTCTATTTTTTCTTCTATGGCCCGATGCTAAAACACATAAATCTCCATTTAGGAATATTGGTTTGAATAAAACTCTGAATAATCTTTTGATTTCAGGACATAGAATATTTCCTGAATACGGCCCAAACATTTCCTGAATATTGTTGGGTATCCACAAATTTGGAATTTGGAAAATAAACCAAAAAGCATTTCTCTATCCCCATATTTAAGAAAAGTTCAGGACTTCAGCTGCTTATTTTTTATATTCAAACCTTAAGCTCTTGTGTGTGTATGTGTGTATGTGAAGGGTCTGCCTGTCTCTGGAGCCTGCTCCTTCGGTTGCAAAAAAGAAACTTCCCAGAACTGTTCCAACCGCAAAAAGCAATCCTGCCCAGGAGGGTACCCCAAGATGACTCTGTCACAATCTGCTGCTCACATCTAGCTCAACTGCAGAGCCCTCTCCCAGAACAACCCTTAAAAACCCTTCCCACCCGCCCCCGCCCAATAAAGGTTCTCTGTTGGGTAGACTGTCTGGTCTGGTTTCACAGGTTCTAGTCCATCATGTGGTACAAGAGATCAACTGCAGAGCCTTCACACGAGTTTTACTTGTTGAGAGGTCTCACTCAGTATGTGGTTAAGCAGCCCACGCTATGCTTGACTTGTGATACTCTTGCCTCAGCCTCTCAAAACGGTAAACTCTTCCTATATTGACAAAATACACCAAATTTAAATACCACGATTGGTTAAATTATTTGAAGTCACTCTGCTAATTGTTTTTTTCTGCTACGCTACCCTTTACAAACCACAAATTTCTGTAAAAGAATCATGGCACCTGAACATACTATTTTAATGACATTATCAATGCTAACGAGATTTTCTTTCTCATAGCATGTTGAGGTACTACATAATCTGAAAGATTTTCATTCAGTTCCACACACATCATTTAAAATCATATACCATAAATTATTTTCCTGAATCCTGAACCCATTCAATTGCCTCAATTAGCAAAACAGCTTCATACAGATGTCTATTTGAAGTGTTAGGTAAACATCTTTACTTCTACTTTTTGGAAAATGGACACAAGCACTGACTTGACATATTTTACTACAGGTTGTATATAAATAGAAATTTACCCCCACTTACAGAAATAAATCACTCAGAAGTCTATTTTGTTTAGCTAACCAGTTTAAAAGTAATTTTCTTGGAGCTTTTATTATCACTTCATATTCCCAAGTGCACAAAACATGTTTCTTAAATTTAGTAACTAACTACCTCCAATTGCTGAAATTTTATAATTGGTAAAACTATGTATTATCTTTACTATTACAGGCATATGCTGCTGATGATTCAGAGGAAACATCAAAACTTACTTTTAAATAGCTACAAAATACAATGGCTCAAATCTACAGGGTTTAAGGGTATATAAAAAATTTTATAACAAACTAAACTTTTTTGTTTTCATGTGCTCTTTTGATTTTGTAAGAAGAAAAAAAAAAAAAAACCTAAATGGGAAAAAAAATCTTCAAGGTTATAGATACTCCCTAGTCTTCCTTAGTAGCCATTTTGATTAAAAAAACATTTTTTTCTTCAAATATTCTAAAGAGATCTTGCAACACTTTATGACAGATACATCAAGTAATCCAAGTAATCCATTAGTACCTCAGAAATAACAGAACGAAGCATGAGATCTAAAATACAATAAAAATCCATCAATAATCTTCACCTTTAATATTCCTTTCACATATAATCATTCAAAGTTCTGAGCACAAGAATTACTGTTTGATCAGGGTGCCTATTTGGAAAATGTTTTTCATATTACTCTGGATCCATAATACATGGTGACTAAAAGTTTACTGGAAAGAAAGGGTGACAACATAAAATCTTCCCAAATATATAAACAGTATGTCAAAGACAGTAGTAAAACACACTGCAAAATCACTACCAAAATGAAAGCACTCACCTGAATAAAGTAACTGTTATATATAATTGATAAAAATGTATTATGGTTCATTCAAAAGCATTTTTAAATTTATGGTGTGTTTTTTGAGTAAATAATCTGAATGTTTAAACACCGTGACTAAGAAAAAGTTCTCATAACAATGTTTACACGTTATTATTTAATTAAAAGAATAAATATATTGGGATATGCATGATCAGTCTCTAAAAGCAACTGAAGAGATACTTAAATCAAATCTATTTAACAAGAAATATGCTCAAAATAAGTTCCTCAGGAAAATAGGCTTAATATACCATTAAGATAACAGCCAAAATAGATCATTTCAAGAGACTGTTGTATTCCTTGTGTATTCCATTTCTTCCCAAGCCAGACTTAAGTGTAGAAAGTCAAATCTAAACTACTTATAACTTTGCTGATCATTTAGCCTGTCAGTTAGACTATCCACAATGTAAGTGGTGTGGAGTGGTGCATATGTGTAAGTCCTAGCTATCTGGGAGACTGAGGCAGGGGAAACCACTCCAGCCTAAGAAGGTGGGGCTGGGCAACATATCAAGATCCTATCTTAGGGAAGGGAAGAATTCCATAGTCTACACTCTATGCTACTGAAAGGTGATACTCTGAACCAGAAGTTTCAATATTTCATTATTAAATTCCTAAAATAACATCAACTGTTTTTCCATTTTAAAAGAATGTTTTAGTTTGCCTGTATATGCTGTCCAAAAAATAAAGATTTGTATATAACAAGTGTCCACTCACAAAAGACACTAAGGCTCAAAGAAATAAAAACAAAAACTTTTAAAAAATGCATTTTAAAATGTAAAATGCTTTAATGAATTTAGTTTGTGGATGTGAACACCATGTGTGAAGTACTGCTCTGGCACTGAGGAGTATAAGTGCATACTAGAGAAGAAAGAAATTTCCACGAAACTACAGAAGATACAGATTCAATTCAGGATGAAAACTTTTTTAGAAATGAATCATTTCTAGAGGACTAGTGATTGCTCATGGTTAGGGATAGCACCTACATGAGTGATATGAGGAATCCTCATAATGATCAAAGTGTTCTGTATCTTGATTATGGTGGTGGTACATACACATGAGATAAAATTGTATAGAATCATACAATTATGCATACACTCTCGCTCGCTGTCTGTAACTGGGGAAACCTGAGTAAAATCTATGATTTTTTAATCAAAGTCATCAGCTTGGTTCTGATATAATATTACAGTTCTGAAAGAAGTTAGCATTCAGAGATACTAAATAAAGGGTCTAGTGATCTCTCTATATTATTTCTTACAATTTCATATGAATCTAAATTATGTCAAACTCAAAAGCTATTTTTAGAGGATAAAAAAATTACACTTTCTCCATGTTGAATATACCATCCCCCCTTTAAAAAAACACCAAGATCTCAGCAACGAAAAAATCACCACTTAAGGTACAGTAGTAATCCCTCTCTAAGAAATTCAAAGTAAACATTAGGTCTAAATATTCTTCCTTTGTAAAAATGTTCTCAATTTATATTTATGATGTATTAATTACAGTATTTTAAAGATCCTAACCTACAAACTGAAGATTTCTCATACATAGTAATGATAAACTGCTTCCTGACTGTGCAGATGGTGGCAGAAGAATCTTTAATAGAGAAAAAGAAAAAAACTACTGGGAGAAAGAGGGAAAGGGAGAGTGAAGAGGAGGGTGGGAGGCAGAGACCGAGTTTGAACTGAAGGGTAGAAAGCCCGCTAAGATTGTGCTAAGCCAGGTTTTTATTTTTATCTACTTTGAACCTCTTGGAAAATATTCAAGCATATCATTTCTTTCACTAATCCAATATAAGAACTCAGTCTAGGATTCTTTGCTGTGAGGAAACAGAAGGTGATCACAGGCAGGGTGACAAGCATAAGCACCCAGATAAAACGAGTCTAATCAAGGGAGTTTCTCATCCAGATAAAAGACTCCCAGAGTCCTTGACTCGACTCGACAGCCCGTTCCGAGGCGCTAAAGACAAGGGCGTCCCGTCTACGCAGATTTGCCCTCGTGGCCCGACCCCTGAAGACTGGAAACCTAACGCTCCTCAGCTGCCAGTGGGCTGCAGGACCTGGGTCCACCGCCCCCACGCTAGGGGCGCGCGGGCCACGGGTGGGGAGGCCTGCACGAGGCTGGGCCCGGCCGCGGCGGGACTGTGGGGCTGGGCAGGAACCGGGAGGGACGCGGTTCCCGCGAGGCTTACCCGCGTTTTGCAGCGTCTCGATGTTCTGGGGCCTGGTCGCTTGTTCTGCCACCGTCTGCACGAACTGGAGCCGGGCTTTCTGGTACTCCTCAAGTCCTGGGGAGGGAGGCTCGCTAGGTAGGGGCCCCGCCGCCGCAGCCGCCAATCTTCCCGCCGCCCGACCTCCCGCCGCAGCCCCTACCTTGCAGCACTTGCCTCTGGCTCATGGTGCACGCAGCTGCTCTCCTTCAGGCCCCAGCCCGTGGATACTCAGCGTTCAGCCTGCGTTTAGCCCAACGACTGACCTGTGCTAGCCTAGGAAGCGCGCGCCTTCTGTGTGTACACGCGTAGTCCCGACAACCAGCCTAGCCCAACCCAAAGGCGGCCCGCCACGACGCTCCGCCCCGGCGTGACGTCACGGGACGGCTAGGGAGAGCGTCCAATCCGAGGACGCGGGGGCGGGGGGCGGTTTCAACAGAGCCGAGCACAGCCCAAGCCAGGTGCCCCTCAGACTTTGACCATGCTACCTAAAGTGTTGTCGGCTTCAGTACAGATTTCTATGCATCTGATGTTTCTCACTTCAGTATTCCTGAAGGGCCACAACCATGTGTATATAGTTGAGTAAAAATATTTAATGCGCATTCTTGGAGCTGCAAAGGGAAAAGCAGATGACAGATATAATAGGATAGACATCCTCTCTTCTGGTGGCTTTCTCCTAATGATGACCAGTTTGGAAGTATTTCATTTTTATGTTATTTTTAAAACATGGTGTCTTTTTAATTTTAAGCTTCATTTTGTTTCTAAGTGACGTTTCCTTACGAAAAGGAGGGAGAAGCTTTTCCTAGAAAGCCACACATCCCTTGTTTATATAACTTGGACTCTTTATCCAGTTTCTTTCACAAAATTTAAGTACTGTACTTAGTCTCCCGCCGGTTTCTAGTTCGTCCTTAAAAACTGCACCAGGGGAAGAGTAGTGACGCTGCCACATGGAAGAGACTGACATCTGTACATGCTTTGTGCTCTATCTTTGCTTTTCGCACCTTTGAAAGCCAGCTCCGCGCGCTTTGAACGTGAAGCTCTCGTGTCCTCTCCGAGGTCGGCCACTGGCGCTCTGAGGCTGCGCCCGGACTCCTCCAGCTGATTCGGGGCGCGGCCTGCTGTCTGCGGCCCCGAGGGCAAAGCCGGAGCTCCTCCTCCCTCTTCGGGAGACGCTGGGGCGCCCAGATCCGGACGGCTGCGGAAAGCACCGAGCGGCCTGGAGCGACCGGGAACTGAGACGCGACGCTTGGGACGCAGCGCTGTCACTTCACGCTTTTCCAGGGAGTGACACACACTGAAATCCCGCAAAGCATTGCTGTTTGCTGTGCGCGCGTATCTTTTTTTTTTTTTTAAACATTTGCATGAGTGTTTTTAATTAAAATGTAAACGCAACCCGCCAGAGGGCAACTTTCAGGAGCTACCCAGGAGGCCTCAAAGCTCTGCGCGCACCGGTCGGAGTCTCCCACGCCTCTCGGCTCTAGGCGCTGTGGTTCGGCTCAGAGCACAGGTTAGTAATTCCAAAAATAATTCCCGCATGAAGAGATGGAGATGTCAGATTTCCCAGATTTCTGATGTTGATCTTACGTCTTTGATGTCAGATGTCAGATTTCTGTGTTGATCTTATGTCTTTGTTTTATGTCAGTCAAATCACAGTCCTCCCAGGGTGGAAGGGCACAGAATTTTAAAAAGAAACCAGTCATCTGGGCACAGGAGACAATGCCTGTAATGTTGAAGCATTAGTGATTGTCTGTCTAAGTGAAAATACATAGCCTCCTGTTCCCACAACAGCCTGTAATGTCCAAGCAGGACCACCGAGATACAAAACTGTCACAGGTTGATAAACTGCATTTGTTCTCCTGCCCTCAACACATTCCATGTCAAAGATGCAAGTCCCTTGACTAGATGTATAAAAACTGGAGCCTGTTCTCTGTCCTTTGCTCGTCCATTTTGCATTTATCCACTGAGCCAATGTACACAGAAAGAAAAAAAAATTCTCCTGTTTTTCATTTGGACTCTCCTGTTTCTTAATTTCTGCAAAAATCTCAGCTACTCAGGAGGCCGAGTCAGAAGCCTCAAGTTAGAGGCTAGCCTGGGCAATTTAGCAAGATCATGTCTCCATTAGATAAATAAATTTTAAAAAACCGGCTGGAAATGTAACCTAATTGTAGAGTTCTCATAGATTCCATTCCTAGTACCACACACATACACAAAAACTCTAATGATAAAATTTCATGTGGATGTAGATGTTTGTGTGTGCAGTAATTGATCTCTAAAAATAAGGAAACTACATGGAATGCTAATTAAAATGACTATGGAGATAGAGATATTTGGTCATCTACAAATACCTGGCATGCCTTCTGGGCACATACTAGCCTATCTTTTAGTTTTTTCCCTTTCTTAATTATGCAGCATTTATTTGAATGTTTGTATGACTAAATTTGGCCAGATACATAGATTGAAAAATATATACAATGTTTTCCTGATATATAAAATATTTTCATTCAATTTATCTCAGTACAGTCAAATATCTCTGATTAGATCTTAGTAAGATCTTTGGTGCTCCACAGGAAGAAAGTAGAAACCAGGTCTTTATGGTGGGTATGGGAGGGCTGCAGAAGAGACACAGGCACTCACAGTGAGAACAAAGAAGTAGAAGTATTTTTATGAGGTCTGGCTGCAGGAGGAGTTTGGGAGGTGGGTAAAATGACATATCAACAGCTGGTTTGAGGGAGCATCTGCATGGGCAAAACAGGAAACAGAAAGATTTACTGGGAGCTGGGGTTGGAACACTTTGTGAAGTTTTGGGTTTGGAGATAGCTTAGCCTATGTGCAAAACGGGATCTGGAGGCTTATCCCTGGAACTACAGGGAGAAGGGAGAAGTTACTCCTAGAGAGAAAAGTTGGTTCTCTGGGCCTGGTACCAAGTTGAGTGGATGTCCTGTTAGAAATAGCTAAGCCCCAGGCTAGCAGAATCTATCAATCTCAAAAAGTATTTTTCTCTTTTTTAAAAACAAAAAAGCTATTCCAGGTGTGGTGGCACACCACTGTAATCCCAGCATGTGGGAGGCTGAGGCAGGAGGGTCACTGCAAGTTTGAAACCAGCCTTTACTACAAAGTGACCTCAAGACTGCATAATGAAACGCTGTCTCAAAAAGACGAAAAGAAATAAGTAAATAAAAATCTAAAAACTAAATAAAAATTGAAAAATCCTGGGCTCAGTAGTTTCATGCACATAATTATTTAATAAGGATTAGGCCTATGAAACAACAATTGCTTGCCTGTATGATTTATTTTGAGGAATACCAGAGAAATCTTTTTCTATCTAAATACTCCTTTCCCAAAGCACAAGATACATGTTTATTAACTTTAAGTGATATTTCATCAAAGAGAGTTTTATTAATTAGTATCTACCTTAGCTGAATTCAAATTCCAGAAAACTTTATATGATCTGGGCATTTGAAAAGAATAAAAGTAGAAATATCACTAACAGATAAAGGCATTGAAAAATGATGGTACTGCCAGAATTATGTTAATCCTCTTAATGACCCAATTACCATAAAGATTCTACCACTTCCCAACATCAGCATTCTGTACACTGTTTCTTTTGAATAATTAACTACCTATTAAAAAGAATGAGATGAAGAGAGCAAACTGACACAATCAACAGTCAGATTACAAGTGAATAGTATGACCACATAGAAGAAAAAGACTAGAAGCAATATGTGAATTCAGTATTTAGTTAAATACCCTTAGTTCATAGTGTTATAATTAGGAAAAAAATTAGAAAAATTCCTGAATTCCTTCCAAAAATTTGCTTTCTGTAGAGGCAAGAAGGAAGTTGTTCTGAAACTATTTTAGATGTACTGTACAGCTGTGCAAATATGTTTTGTTTCAGAGCCCCAGAGTTCTAAAAGGAAAAAGAAAAAAAGAAACACAAAAAAGCAAGTAAAACCCCATAGCATTAAACAGAAAAAGCCCCCATTTCTATGACTTTGTAGTTCCAAACATACATATACATGTATATATATTTTTTCTATAGCTTTTTGTATGTATGTATATGTATAAACATAATTTAAATTTTCGAGGCCCTTCAATTAAAAGTTGCAAGAAGCAAATATTGTCCAGTAAGCAATAAGAATTCCTTGCACCCAGATCAAGGTTCATGTACCTTCTCTGTTAAAAAGAGCCAAGGGAATTAGGCACAGTGGCACAAGCCTATAATTTTAGCTACTCAGAAGGCAGAATTTGGCAAATTGTAAGTATGAGACCAGTCTGGACAATACATCGAGACCCTGTCCAAAAAGGGTGGAAGATGCAGCTTAGGCTACAGTGCACCTAGAATCAATCCCCAACATGACAAATCACATTTGTGATCACATTTGTAATTTTACCTCCTACACAAAACTAATCTCCTAGAGTTTTATCACATTCTCAGAGTGACCAACAGAAGACAATCATTTTGTACATTCAGCAAAGGGAGGGGAAAAGGAATAGTTTTAAAATGTGCCAGCACATTCTATGTTAATGACATCTGTCCTCAGGAAAAATTAACTACAGTCTAACTTGCTTCAGTTGCAACAAAGCCTAACTAACCTAGAGAAACAACAGCCATTCTGTCACTTCTGGGGAAGAGAAATCTTTAAAAAATTAAAAACTGTAAAATTCACAGTCTAGAGATACATGCCCCCTCTAAAAGACAGACCCTTGCGTAAGACTGTAGAATACTTTTGTACCCTCACAGCTTACGGAAGAATTATTTACAAAAGATTTTTTTTCACCTGGTACAGAAGATCTAAGGCATACTAAAAGTCAAAACAAGAAAACCACTACCACCACCACCAATAGAACTACCCTGAAGAGGCAGCTATCAGAACTAGACTTTTTTTTTTTTTTTTTTTTGTCGTTTTCATTTTTATCGGTACCAGGGAATGAACTCATGACCGCCTGCTTGCAAGGCAGGTGCTTATGCCGCTGAGCTAAATCTCCAGCCCCCAGAACTAGACTTTTAATATGTCAGGAATGCTGAGATTGGCAGATCTCAGAGAATTTAAAACAGATGAGATTAATAATCCACAGATCCTTAGTGGATAAAGTACACAATAAAGTACGCAAGAACAAAAGGGCAATGTAATTAAAATCACTAAGAGATGAATAATGCCTTTTGTGGACTTAATACAAAACTGAATATGGCAGAGGAAAGAATCTTTGAGCCTGAGGATACATCAATGGAAACATCTAAAACTGAAAAGCAAAGAAAAAGACTCAAAGTCACTGAATCAAACAATAT